TTCATTTATTCTGCTCACGCCAAATTAAATCATCGACCGTTTCTACTTCCAGCAGCTTCCATCAAAAGTCCCAGCGACAAAATGAACACATTCTACTTCAGCATAGACATGGAAAACATCTGGATATATATCGGTCAGTGTTTCAAACTGTGTAGCTTCTAAAATCATTTGCATAATTAGTAAATATCCACTAAAATTATGTAGTTACTGACCCTGCTTTTTGTTTTATCCTTTATTATTTTACTAACTACCTCAGACCCCTATAGACATTCCAAAGGTTCTGAGCTTTACAACAAGGAATAGCATTACTCATTGATGGAGCTGAAGTTGGCTGGATGACACTATTAAAACAAGGAAGCACTAAAAACAGCTAAATTAATCCTAATAAATACCACAAGGAAAATAAATCCAAAAGTAACTAAAGAAACCAACACAGTCCACCGCAGAGGGCCACTTAACTCATTGACTGTTGCCGTTTTGGATGATTTCACTGATTTTCAAGACCCACAGATTATTATGTGCTAAAACTGTGTGAAATATGAAGCCAGATTTGGAAAGACTGGTTTATCTACTTTCATCAGCAAAAATAAGTTTGTTTCTAGCTATCTTTGTTGTCCTGTAATCCCCAGTCAAAAAGAGGGTCTCAGACAAATACGTCAATGGCAGTCTGAGTTCAAACGACACAGAGGGCCGCGTTTAACCCGCGGGCCGGAGTTTGGACCTGCTTTCTATCTTTGAATACGACACGCTTAAACACAATGCATCATGGGAGAAACCAAAGCTTGGGTTGTGAGCAGCAATCATTTACCTGATTTTATTGTTTTTTTTGTTTTTTTGTCTGGATCTTGTGAGCACTTTAGCTTTAGCGCCTGAGCGAAGCACTTTCCCCAGCCGTTGTTCACACTCACAAACTGCCTTCTTTAAACTTCCGTCTCACTGCAGCACTTTGGAGGGGATTCTGAACTCTTAGACGTTTTATTCCCGTCCTGTCTGTCGCCCGCTGTGTCAGTGTGATGTGCTTTTGCCTGTGTCTGTTCCTTGCATTTGGGATCTTGTCTTTTTTGCGTCTGTCATTCCTCCTTCCTCTTCTCAAACCTTTAAAGCCGACGTTCTGTCTTCTCTTACTGTACACCTCGCCGCCGCTGCTCTTCTAATATCGCTGACAGTTTTGTGGCCGGGTGCACGCTTCGCCAAAGCTGCTGCTGTTGTTTTGAGGGTTATCAGGGCGGCCATCTTGGGTTTCATCTTGGCGTTTTATCTGTTTTATCTGCACTCTGTTGTCCCCGGCGTATCTGATGCCACCATCCAAGTGCTGACCTTTCTCTCCTCTTAAAAATGCGACGGCTCACGGCTCATTCTGAGTTATAAGGATTAGTGTGACTCTTTCTCTAATGGAATCTTTTGCTTACAACTTAACCTTTGTCGCTGGCACACAACTTATTCTGAGGTCAGGAGGAAGATTTCGACAAATGAGCTCGGCACGCAGAGAGGGCAAACTTTTCTGCTTCCAGTCACGACCCCCAATGTAAGCTACCTCTAAAGTTGTGTCTTGTTCTATTGTTTTTAGGACACAGAATTAATTACAAATCCTCAAAACATGCTATTATTGTACCATTACAGCAGGCCTGCCCAAACTCAGGCCCGGGGGCTAATTGCGGCCCTAAGTGTCATTTTATGTGGCCGTATCCCTTGCTAACCCAAAGTAGTCTGTGATCTTAACCACAAAATAACTCATCCATCCAACTTCAGCTCAGCCAATATAGACTTCATTCTAAAGCCCAGAACGTCATTGACTAAATTTGTAAAAACTGTACCGACGTGGGTTTCACAAACTCCCGTTACTGATGCTAATGTCGCTGGTGAGATGGTAAACATGTGTCATTCAGCCAACTTCAGCTCTGTTGTAGATCATTTTAAAGCTCAGAACAGCCTGGTGCCAGTCAAGACAGTTTTTTAGACAGGATAAATCCAGAACATCAGATTTATGTCCAGAGAACGAATGAGCCGAGGAATGAGGTAGATTGTGGAGTTTTTATACATTTTAGGAACCCTGGACATTACCAGATTTCACTATTTTTCAGTCCTTTCCTATGTCTGTAGTTTTGTTAATGAAGCTTGTGTCTGCAGGTATGTTATTTTATCTGTATTGGGCATTGCTAAATCCAAACCCACTCCAGCCTGTGTATCAGTGTGATGCAGTGTTCAGTGTCGGACCCTCTCTCCTTCTGAGGGTGTTATAGATACACATGTCTCTTGGATAATTTACAGTCTTTCCAGATCCATTTGAAGTTCGCAGTCAAACAGAATCAACTTCTTTACTTGTGAGAGCTGAAATTAGACTCGAGATTTCCTAAATGTCTACCCCAGGCAACTCGCACTTCGCCGTTTCAGATCTTACCCGGAAATCCTTTGAGTTAAATCAACATAGAAGACTGCGATGCCCTGAACTCTCAATGTTCTAACATACGTCTCATCTGAATTATTTTACCCAAATAACAGTCAAAATGTGTTCCATCTGAAACAGGCAAGACATGTGTAATGTTTTCTCTTCAATCTGCACCTAAATAAGTTTTGCAAATGGAATTACCGTATATTTTGGATTATGAGTGACGGAGTGTACGAACTACTGTCAGAGTAATCTTAGTATTTTACACATCTGAAGCACAAGCACAGAATGCGTTGCCAAAGGGCAGCGGTCATTATTGGTTAAAGAGTCTGTTCAAAAAAATGGTAGAACGTTTTGAAAATATATAAAAAATCATTGGTTCTACTGCTGTGAAGAGCTCATGTTATTTTTCCTTTATTTTGCTGATCACAAATCCACAGATGGAAATGTGCGAGACGATGTAAATACAAAACCATTTGAGAACTTATCTCTAATTGCAAATATAACTTTTGAAATTGTAGCATGTCTGGTTCAGTTTATTCTTCACAATATCAAACATTTTACCATAAAAGACAGCTTTTTTTTATTATTTTAGTTTTACAACATTACATCCTGGTGGTTCCTCACAGACAGTTTTCTATTCCTGGTCAAAACACGCCACATGTCTCTGCTTCTCCATTTCAGCCTCAGCCTCTGATTAACTGGCTGCGAGAGCCTCATAACTGTCAGAAAGAGAAGTCACTCGTGGCCAACTCACACGGAGACGCTGCTGCCATTGTGAAGAATGGTTTGATTGGGCCGAGACTCTCCTGCAGATTAGGCCGAGACTCTCCTGCAGATTAGGCCGAGACTCTCCTGCAGATTAGGCCGAGACTCTCCTGCAGATTAGGCCGAGACTCTCCTGCAGATTAGGCAGAAACTTTCCTGCAGATTAGGCAGAGACTATCCTGCTGATTATACAGAGACTCTCCTGCAGATTATGCAGAGACTCTCCTGCAGATTAGGCCGAGACTCTCCTGCAGATTAGGCCGAGACTCTCCTGCAGATTAGGCAGAGACTCTCCTGCAGATTAGGCCGAGACTCTCCTGCAGATTAGGCCGAGACTCTCCTGCAGATTAGGCCGAAACTCTCCTGCAGATTAGGCCGAGACTCTCCTGCAGATTAGGCCGAGACTCTCCTGCAGTCTAGGCAGAGACTCTCCTGCAGATTAGGCCGAGACTTTCCTGCAGATTAGGCCGAGACTCTCCTGCAGATTAGGTGAACACGTATCGGCGTTCGTGTCCAGTAGATCACGTCACTCTGGACTCGCTGATTCCAACCAGCTGCAGAGCGAGGCTGCAAACCGTGGAGCAGGCAATAAAATGGATTGCAGTCTAACAGGTCAGGAACACGGGGATATGGCCTTGTCCGACCGAGATGTTCTTGATTTAAAGGCATGTTGGGTAATGCTTTAATGCGGTGTACTCGAAGGACATATCTAATCTATTACCGCTCGTCTGTTTGCCAAAACCTTAAACTAACTGCTGCGACACACGGAAAACATGTGTCCATTAGAATACTCCTAAAGCATTCACACTGATAACGGCAGAGACAGAGACCGGCTGCTCAACAGATACTGGTTTATTTAACATGTTACAGTCAATTAGGCCATAACATGTCACGCTACAGCTAAAAACACAAAGCAAAGAAACTGAATTGTATTTTAGTTTTTGTGGGTGTATTGTGAAAAATGAATCACAGAGAGACGGATCGTGGCGCACCATAGCTCCTCGAAGTTTATTCAGTTTCATTCAGGTTTCAGTGGTTTCAGTGGTTTCAGTTTTTTCAGACAGAGCAAAATCAGGACATGAATTTATATAGTCATTGTCACGTCACAGATACAGAAAGACACACGTGTCACATCCAGAGACAATCAGAACATACAGAGTCATAACATGGACACACAATCGGGTCGTTGTGACTTACAGAAGGCCACTTGTATAGATATCTAATTCCCATACTCCCCCCTTTTATCACTTAAACACTCCACCACCTGAAAAAGTCTGGGATCGTGTCTTTAATTCAGAAAGAAGACATGTTTTATTGTCGTTGGTAGATACAACACGAACAACGGAGGAATGGAGTCCTCCGATCAGCAGCTTGGTCTTCAGAAACGAAAACATGCAGTGGAAAAGTACTGGCTTGTTGTTGGATGATGAGTTAGAACTTTAACCATAGTTGCTTCAAAGTGTCATGAAAAACCTAAAGTATCATTGATTGGATCAGTCTCTAACGTTGGCTCTTCCTCTTGAGTGTTTGGCTCTGAGTTCCAAAGAGCTTAGTCATTTCTGAAATTTGTGCAGCAGCAGAAACATCTCAGCACTCGGTGATCGAATGATATGAATAGATTCTAATGGACCTATTGTCCCTCACACAAGAGCGTTACACTGAAGCTTTCCCCTGAAGACTACAGTCAGATATGTTTCCTCTTCATTGGGAACGCGTGGGCACTGAGCTGAATGACTAATGTCAGAGACGTGATCCGAAGAACCAGGGGAAGCCGGGATGTGACTGCAATCAAATTATCGTCCAATCAAGTCATATGGTGAGTAATTCAAAGCCTACATTGGCAGGCCTAATCTGATTGGCCGTGCATTAGGGGCCCGGAGGACGGCCTGATCCACGAGGAGGTGCTTTGATGAGAGACTTCCTGGAGGAGGCGCAGACAGAGTTCGGTGGGTGCTGCCTCCGTGGATTTGGAGCTGAGCGGAAACGCAGGAAACGAGAAGACGGGGCGAGCAAAGTTCAAGTCCCACTCTGCACCATCTGCCTGATTGTCCGACAGCAGCTTCTCTCATTTGGCCAATTACAGAGGAGTGTGATGATGTGTTTGTGTCTTGCCCATCGGCTCGTCGTCTGCTGCGTGATAATGTGGAACTATGGTGTGTGCTGCCATAACACTGTTCCTGCTGCCTACTTAAAATGATATTAGGATATTGCCTGTGGTTGTACTTTTGGCTTGGATTTCAACATCTGGCGCACAGATCGTGTTTATGTAAATTAGGTTGTGTTAAAAACTATAGTTGCGAAGGTTTTCCAAGTTAGAAATCCTGGAAGTGTTATCAGAACAAGAATGTGTGTGTTTCATCCTTGGCCCAACAATTATATATATATATACAGTATAAATTAATGTATATTTATTTATGGCGAGAACTCTGGTGTTTGCCGTCTTCTTTTTCCGGTGCACGCTGGGGTAGTCTTACAGTTTTTCCAATGTGGTTTTACTGCAAATGGCAAATAAATTCTTGTATATTGTCTTTATTATTATGAAACAAATATAGGAATTGTGTTTGTTCTAGGCCTCTCTGTTCTAGCATTTACCAACTTAACTGTTTATCCATCCATCCATGTTCTACCCCTTAATCCACTTCTGGGTCGGGGGGGTGGCCAGAGATGCCTCCCAGTACACAGAGCACCAGCCATTGATCTGTTTCAGAGCAAATAATTCAGGGATTGGAGAAGGGAAAAAATGAAAGCAAACTTTAGTGGCAGCTTTTGAGGAGAAGCAACACCTGGAAAAACATGCCGTGGACATGAAGGGCAGCCAACAAAAGCCGGGCCCCATGGAGAGTGCGGCGCAGAGGGCTAATGCTGCCGGGTTTCAGGGCCCGGTCTGTGGCCCATTTGCATGAGCGGGTTTCCGTTCCCTCAAACACTTATTACAGTAAAAGCACCCTCTGTGAGGGGCCTGCCGTGTGGAGAGCGCTGCCAACGGAACAGTCTCAGGGAAAGAGAGAGCGAGAGGAAGGGAATCAGTTTGGGGAAGTACTGTCCGTCCACTGCCAAGAGTCGCTTTTCCCTCTCCCTGGTCCTCTGCCTGGTCTTCTACCTGGTCCTCTGCCTGGTCCTCTGCCTGGTCCTCTGCCTGGTCCTCTGCCTGGTCCTCTGCCCTGGTCCTCTGCTCTGGTCCTCTGCCCTGGTCCTCTGCCTGGTCCTCTGCCTGGTCCTCTGCCTGGTCCTCTGCTCTGGTCCTCTGCCTGGTCTTCTGCCTGGTCTTCTGCCTGGTCCTCTGCCTGGTCCTCTGCCTGGTCCTCTGCCTGGTCCTCTGCCTGGTCTTCTGCCTGGTCCTCTACATGGTCCTCTGCTCTGGTCCTCTGCCTGGTCCTCTGCTCTGGTCCTCTGCCTGGTCCTCTACATGGTCTTCTGCCTGGTCCTCTACATGGTCCTCTACATGGTCCTCTGCCTGGTCCTCTGCCTGGTCCTCTGCTCTGGTCCTCTGCCTGGTCCTCTGCTCTGGTCCTCTGCCTGGTCCTCTGCCTGGTCCTCTGCTCTGGTCCTCTGCCTGGTCTTCTGCCTGGTCCTCTACATGGTCCTCTGCCTGGTCCTCTGCCTGGTCCTCTGCTCTGGTCCTCTGCCTGGTCCTCTGTCTGGTCCTCTGCCTGGTCCTCTGCTCTGGTCCTCTGCCTGGTCCTCTGTCTGGTCCTCTGCCTGGTCCTCTGCCTGGTCCTCTGCCTGGTCCTCTGCCTGGTCCTCTGCCTGGTCCTCTGCCTGGTCTTCTGCCTGGTCTTCTGCCTGGTCTTCTGCCTGGTCCTCTGCCTGGTCCTCTGCCTGGTCCTCTGCCTGGTCCTCTGTCTGGTCCTCTGCCTGGTCCTCTACATGGTCCTCTACATGGTCCTCTGCCTGGTCTTCTGCCTGGTCTTCTGCCTGGTCCTCTGCCTGGTCCTCTGCCTGGTCCTCTGCCTGGTCCTCTGCCTGGTCTTCTGCCTGGTCCTCTGCCTGGTCCTCTGCCTGGTCCTCTGCCTGGTCCTCTACATGGTCCTCTACATGGTCCTGTGCCTGGTCCTCTGCCTGGTCCTCTGCCTGGTCCTCTGCCACTCCGCGGTTAATTTGACAATAGTGTCCATGCCGCACAATGACAAAAACAACAGCATTTGTGTGACTGCTCTTTTGAAAGCTAAAGTCATCCCTCTTTTGTACCATCAGTGTGTTTGTACCATATGTGTGTTTGTGCCAGAAGTGTCTTTGTGGGTAACATTCAGTATTGTGTGAAAAGTCAGGCATTGTTGTGACGCCGCAGCAAGTATCCATAAGTGAGCAATCAGGCAGTTTCAGAGAGCTCGGCGTCTGCCTCCACACAGCGTTATGGCACGTGTCCCTGCTCTCCCACACAATTATTCCCAGGAACAAATCTGATTCCATCTCACACTTGCTCTGAGGCTTTTGTTCCAACAGACGCTCGGAGCAAACGTACCGGGCTTATGTTCCCCAATGTGCCGCCACACGGGCCGCAACCACCACCAAGAGATTTACTTGAAGATCGCAGCATTTTCAATTCTCCCTTAAGTAAGGATGGAGCCCCCACGTTCTCAATATCCCAATATCTTTGAACACGTGGAAACAAACCTGTCATTGGGAATATTTTAAAGTCTGCTCTCTTCATTTACAGAAAACACAGAAAGCCCATACAGTCTTGTTCTATTGATACATCAGCGTTAGGGTCATACTGCTTCATCTGCTGCTCAGACCTAAAGTGCTGTTGCATTTTATTATTACTAATTCATTCATTCTATTTCTACCCCTTTATTAGTCCATTTCTGGGTCAGGGGGGTGACGAGGATAGCTGCCACCCATTGCTCATAGTCCCTCTGATCCTCTGCAGGTGGTGCCTTGGTCTTTCAGCGGGAGCTTCAGGCAAAGTGGGGTTAAGTGTCTTGCCCAAGGACACAATGACAGCAGACATTAGTGGAAGCAGTTTGAGTAGGTCCCGTGATGGGCTCGAACCCACGACCTTCAGCCCAATTTAGCTACTGTCGCCCCTTTATTATTACTCTTGTTGGCTTTTTTCAGAATGATAAATTTGTTTTGCCTTTCTTCTACGGGGATTATCTATGTATTTATCTTTCTACTGTGAGACGGTATTGAACCCCAGACCCAAATGGGACTTTTTTTTTCTCTCCAAGTATCATAACCCGGTCCAGAACCGTCTTTACCTGAGCCACATGTGAGCAACAAGCTGTAAACGGTTCAGTTCAGTTCAGTTTGAGGAGGATCAAATGCAACAATCACTGTGTCTGCATAGGTTTCCTCCAGGTGCTTCGGTTTCCCGTACCACTAAAAACACGTACAATAGGTCCTGTTTGGCGGCCCAGCTCCCATCTCTGTGGAGTGAGCGACAAATGCCACAATTATAAAGTGCTTTGTGACGCTGGTCTGTGAAAGGTGCTATATAATTAAACATTACCCATATAGACCGACGGGAGAGGCTAGTTTTTAAATGTGTTGCTGCAAAAGTAATCCTGCTAATTCGATAAACTGTATATGTATTGTGTCGTTTTTTGTTTTTTTTCTATTCTGTTCTGTTGTCTGCCATGGCTCGAAAAAAAAAAAAGTATTCTTTCATTCAGCGTTTTCGGTCCGTGTGAAACTGCCTGCTCACAGAAAGTACGTTATTGTTCATATTTAAGGTAGTCCTGTCTCTCTCTAATATTCACCTGTCCCCACATTTGTTTCTTTCCGATGCACTAAAGTTGAACAAACGTAACGAGCTTATCCTCCGCCACCGGGTCTGACAGAAGCCACGCTCCGTCTCTCCTTCCTCTAATCACGCTTGTCAACGGAAAAGGAAGTGACAGGTCCAACAATGTTCCTGGTTAACACCACAACCTACCAATAACCTCCTCTCATAAAACATATGGCCTTTCAATCAAAGCGGCGGCAAACACGGAGCATGTGTGAATGAGGCTGTCAGTCAGCGGGGGGTCTTTGTGCCGCCTCAATAATAACATCTGTATTGTACTGTATCGCCTTTGTCTCCCTCCAGCATTTATGGAATCAATTTATGGCTTCTTTAAAAACACAATAGTCTATTTTAATCTGCCGTAACGTGCCGTAATGTCCCTATCAAGGCCTTAGGGATAATTTAAGGCATTAGGAAAGAGAAAGAAAATGTTTATGTGAGGAGAAAATGCAAGTTTTTTTTTTTAGATTATGTGTTAAATTGGAAATATGTAAGATTTTAATGTCGAGTCATCATTAAAGGGCCTTAATCTGTCATCATTAAAGGGCCCTAATCTGTCATCATTAAAGGGCCCTAATCTGTCATCATTAAAGGGCCCTAATCTGTCATCATTAAAGGATTCTACATACTGCTGCTTTAATTGATGCCTGCAGAATTGACGCTGGTTTGAAGATCTAATCCCAGACTCGGCCGGGATTTGACACGGTACAAACCAAAGTCACATCAGGTTTGAGTCTGGATTACAGCCAGTATCATCAGATCTAATCCTGTTCTGGAAGCTTCTGCAGTTTAGACACCACTGCTGTAGCAACCTGCTCTGTGCACAACTCCAGATGTGAGCTTTGTCCTTTAGTTTCACTTGGATGTTGTGCAGATCTGGATGTTTCAGACTCAAAAGGAAATGAGGAGTAGATGGAGATGTTCTGTCGTCCCCAACAAACGCATAAATAACTGTTTTAATTATCTTTACAGTCACAGTTCCATCCCTGCCTGTTCTCGGTGACCCTCACACAGATTATGGAAGAAAAAACCTTGAACCAAAAGAGTTATATCCGTGCGATTAAATTTAGTGCCTTGTTCTGCTGAAACCGTAAGAACTGAGACAATCATTCATGGATCTGGATCTCATCACGTCCTGCGCCTAAATCATATTAAAGGAAGAATATGAAGTAGAATAGACTTTTATGAGCTTTGGATTCGGTTCACTTCAAAATATGTTGATTTTTATTCATTCTATAGGAATCCTGGGAGGAGGAGTATCTGTAGTAGTAGTAGTAGTAGTATCTGTAGTAGTAGTAGTAGCAGTACAGTATCTGCAGCAGTAGTAGTAGTAGTATCTGCAGCAGTAGTAGTAGTATCTGCAGCAGTAGTAGTAGTATCTGCAGCAGATGTAGTAGTATCTGCAGCAGTAGTAGTAGTATCTGCAGCAGATGTAGTAGTATCTGCAGCAGATGTAGTAGTATCTGCAGTAGTAGTAGTAGTATCTGAAGTATCACTTCAGTTCCACACTTGTGCAGAGAAAGCTTTGACTGGCTATAAAACAATGTTTGTGTATATTTTGTATTTTATGTGGATCTATCACCCTCAACTCTGCAAAACAAGAAGTATCTCCTCAAAGTACATGATATACATGTATCCTCAAAGTACATGATATACATGTATCCTCAAAGTACATGATATACATGTATCCTCAAAGTACATGATATACATGTATCCTCAAAGTACATGATATACATGTATCCTCAAAGTACATGATATACATGTATCAAAGTACATGATATACATGTATCCTCTGTATTTGACCCGTCTTTCCTCGAGGCTCGACCGTTTCTTTTCCAGATCAGTTTTTCTGAATGAATCCAGTTTTGTGATGACTCTGGAGCCACAGCGAGACCAACCTGCACTCACCTGACAGATAATCACTGTCAGTTTGGGTTTTTGCCATCACCGTGCAGCTACTCCACGTCCTCTCACCTCTCCCCCCCCCCTCCCCCCCCCCCCCCCCCCCTCCCCTCTCTCCCACTGCCTCTGCTTTAATGGATGCAAATAGATGCGTGTGTGGTGGAAAGCGGCTGACATTTATGCCTCTGATTAGAACAGGCAGCCCCAACGCTTTGTAATTGATTGCAGCGGCGGCCGGTCCACACTCTCACCCGTCTCCCCCCCCCCTCTTCACGGCCCGCGCTGCTCTTTGCATCCTATTAGTCCCAGCCCGGTCCCATCCACTGCCCCACACAATGGCCACTCAGAGGGCGTTATGATATGCATGTGCACATACTGTCACACCAGTATTAGGGCTCCAGTACTTAAGGCCAGTCTTGAGAATTATCTTTAATGCACTTTTTAAAGGTCTCCGGCTCATTCCAGAGTCGAGCGTTTTATATAATGTAAATCTTCCGTCAGCTGTCAAGTTATTGGATGTAAAAAGATTTCCATATTTTGTGAGTGTTAAGCATGACCAGCTCCGTGTGAGCGAGGCGTCTGTCAGCTGCAGGAGGCTGCTTTACTGAGATTATACAGAAGTATACACAGTACACAGGAGCAGGACACTTTCTTTTGGCTTCAGTTGGCTAGGGGCTATTTACATTTAGCAAAATCTTAGAATTTTTATTTTTGACTCAATAGTGATATAAAAAGGTTTAAATCATTGGTAAACATTGGCTCATTTGTCTTATTGTGAAACTAATGACATTCTGCATTTATTGTTAGTAAAACTGTTGCTGTGATTTTGGTTTGATTACTATGATGTCAAACTGTATAGAAAGTATTAAACTAGTATATTTTTTATTAGTAATGACTTCTGCCATCATGAATTAGAGCTTAAATATTTGTTTTGAGCGGCAGAACAATTAATCATTTTAAATCTTAGTCGTTGAAATTAACTACAATGTCTGCCTATTTGTTCATGTTTATATTTGTTACACTGAATCTCATGCATGTGAAGGCTAAGCAGGGCAGGGCCTGGTTAGTGCTGTGATGGGAGACCTCTGTGACCAGGTGCAACAGTGCGACGGCTATAACAAGATATGTTGTGTCCTTAGGCAAGACACTTCTCTGACATTGAGTGTGGAGTGTATGAGAATGATCGGTGGTCTGAGGGGTTGAGGGTTCAGTCTGCCCCAGGGCAGCTGCAACTGCACGTATTGGTTTACCAGCATCATTTACATACCCAGGTCTTACCATGTGTAAACTCTGGTCGATGATCATTTCCTACATGTACGTCTGGGTCTGATCCTAGTGGCTGCACTTTCCTCGGTTGAATCTCCTTCAACCAATCAGAGAGCGGGGGAGGCGGGTGTTGTAGGTCGGTGTCGTTGACGGCAAGAGTTTGTGCTGAATGTTTAACAGATGTCATTGAAGCAAAGATGTTGTGGCTCTACCCCCCACGGGCTCCGTTAGTGGCAAAGGAGATGCTAAAGCTAGGCTAAATGCTAAAGCTAGGCTAAATGCTACGTAAATACCTCACTCACTCGGGCTCATTACATACAGTACAGACCAAAAGTTTGGACACACCTTCTCATTCAAAGAGTTTTTCATTTTCATTATTTTGAAAATAGTAGATGGACACTGAGGGCCTCAAACCTATGACTGAACTCATGTGAATTATGTTTGTAGTAAAAAATATGAACCAAGTGTAAATATGTGTTTTATTCTGGTTCTTCAAAGTAGCTCCTTTTGCTCTGATACTGCTTCACTCTTGGCATTCTCTGGATGAGCTTCAACAGGACCTGAAATGGTCTCCAACAGTCTGGAAGGAGTTCCCATGATGCTTAGCACTTGTTGGCCCCTTCACTCTGTGGTCCAGCCCCAAAACCATCTGGACTGGGTTCAGGTCCAAAACCATCTGGACTGGGTTCAGGTCCAAAACCATCTGGACTGGGTTCAGGTCCGGTGACTGTGCAGGTCATGTGGTCCAGCACCATCTCTCTCCTTATTGGTCAAACAGCCCTTACACAGCCTGGTGCGGGTCTACAGCAATAGTCATGAACAGAACTCGGTGAAGTAGAGAGGGTGTCCACACTTATGGTCTGTAGTGTACGTCACGGTAAACTCGGATCCAATGGTTACAATCTGCAAAAGGAGTTAGCCCCTCCCACCTGTTAACGGAGTCAATGGAGACAACCCAGACCTTAGTATGAAGTGAAATGAGTACTATGGTGTGGTAAGAGCAGGCTACAGTGCACAGGTGAATGAATGTTTTGCAGTCTCTCTCCTCTCTCGCATACATTAAAGCTTCTTCTTCTTCTTCTCTATTAATGGACGTGGCTCAAAGTCAAGGCCAAGCTTCAGTGGGAGATCTCTCACTACGCTGTCGCTTCGTCTCCTCGAATCAATGCTGCTCCTGACCTTTGAACTCCACTAATCCTGAGAGACCGGTCAGTCCACGAGAGGGTCAGAGGAGCTCAGCCACAGAGGGGCTGGGAAACTGGTGGGAGTGCAGTGTGTCCTGGTCTGGTTGTGTGTTTGTGAAAGTGCAGAGTGTGCCCTGGTCTTGTTGTGTGTTTGTGAAAGTGCAGAGTGTGCCCTGGTCTTGTTGTGTGTCTGTGAAAGTGCAGAGTGTGTCCTGGTCTTGTTGTGTGTCTGTGAAAGTGCAGAGTGTGTCCTGGTCTTGTTGTGTGTCTGTGAAAATGCAGAGTGTGCCCTGGTCTTGTTGTGTGTCTGTGAAAGTGCAGAGTGTGCCCTGGTCTTGTTGTGTGTTTGTGAAAGTGCAGAGTGTGTCCTGGTCTGGTTGTGTGTCTGTGAAAGTGCAGAGTGTGTCCTGGTCTGGTTGTGTGTTTGTGAAAGTGCAGAGTGTGTCCTGGTCTTGTTGTGTGTTTGTGAAAGTGCAGAGTGTGTCCTGGTCTGGTTGTGTGTTTGTGAAAGTGCAGAGTGTGTCCTGGTCTGGTTGTGTGTTTGTGAAAGTGCAGAGTGTGTCCTGGTCTTGTTGTGTGTTTGTGAAAGTGCAGAGTGTGCCCTGGTCTTGTTGTGTGTCTGTGAAAGTGCAGAGTGTGTCCTGGTCTTGTTGTGTGTCTGTGAAAGTGCAGAGTGTGTCCTGGTCTTGTTGTGTGTCTGTGAAAGTGCAGAGTGTGCCCTGGTCTTGTTGTGTGTCTGTGAAAGTGCAGAGTGTGCCCTGGTCTTGTTGTGTGTTTGTGAAAGTGCAGAGTGTGTCCTGGTCTGGTTGTGTGTCTGTGAAAGTGCAGAGTGTGTCCTGGTCTGGTTGTGTGTTTGTGAAAGTGCAGAGTGTGTCCTGGTCTTGTTGTGTGTTTGTGAAAGTGCAGAGTGTGTCCTGGTCTGGTTGTGTGTTTGTGAAAGTGCAGAGTGTGTCCTGGTCTGGTTGTGTGTTTGTGAAAGTGCAGAGTGTGTCCTGGTCTTGTTGTGTGTCTGTGAAAGTGCAGAGTGTGTCCTGGTCTGGTTGTGTGTTTGTGAAAGTGCAGAGTGTGCCCTGGTCTTGTTGTGTGTTTGTGAAAGTGCAGAGTGTGCCCTGGTCTTGTTGTGTGTCTGTGAAAGTGCAGAGTGTGTCCTGGTCTTGTTGTGTGTCTGTGAAAGTGCAGAGTGTGTCCTGGTCTTGTTGTGTGTCTGTGAAAGTGCAGAGTGTGCCCTGGTCTTGTTGTGTGTCTGTGAAAGTGCAGAGTGTGCCCTGGTCTTGTTGTGTGTTTGTGAAAGTGCAGAGTGTGTCCTGGTCTGGTTGTGTGTCTGTGAAAGTGCAGAGTGTGTCCTGGTCTGGTTGTGTGTTTGTGAAAGTGCAGAGTGTGTCCTGGTCTTGTTGTGTGTTTGTGAAAGTGCAGAGTGTGTCCTGGTCTGGTTGTGTGTTTGTGAAAGTGCAGAGTGTGTCCTGGTCTGGTTGTGTGTTTGTGAAAGTGCAGAGTGTGTCCTGGTCTTGTTGTGTGTTTGTGAAAGTGCAGAGTGTGCCCTGGTCTTGTTGTGTGTCTGTGAAAGTGCAGAGTGTGTCCTGGTCTTGTTGTGTGTCTGTGAAAGTGCAGAGTGTGTCCTGGTCTTGTTGTGTGTCTGTGAAAGTGCAGAGTGTGCCCTGGTCTTGTTGTGTGTCTGTGAAAGTGCAGAGTGTGCCCTGGTCTTGTTGTGTGTTTGTGAAAGTGCAGAGTGTGTCCTGGTCTGGTTGTGTGTCTGTGAAAGTGCAGAGTGTGTCCTGGTCTGGTTGTGTGTTTGTGAAAGTGCAGAGTGTGTCCTGGTCTTGTTGTGTGTTTGTGAAAGTGCAGAGTGTGTCCTGGTCTGGTTGTGTGTTTGTGAAAGTGCAGAGTGTGTCCTGGTCTGGTTGTGTGTTTGTGAAAGTGCAGAGTGTGTCCTGGTCTTGTTGTGTGTCTGTGAAAGTGCAGAGTGTGTCCTGGTCTGGTTGTGTGTTTGTGAAAGTGCAGAGTGTGTCCTGGTCTTGTTGTGTGTTTGTGAAAGTGCAGAGTGTGCCCTGGTCTTGTTGTGTGTTTGTGAAAGTGCAGAGTGTGTCCTGGTCTTGTTGTGTGTTTGTGAAAGTGCAGAGTGTGCCCTGGTCTTGTTGTGTGTTTGTGAAAGTGCAGAGTGTGTCCTGGTCTGGTTGTGTGTTTGTGAAAGTGCAGAGTGTGTCCTGGTCTTGTTGTGTGTTTGTGAATACTGACCCAGTAAAAGCCATTGTTGTTTGCTCAGGGTTATATTTGCTTGTGGCTGCATTTTTCTCTACATTCAAGAGTTTGAGGAGCACAATGAACAAATACCAGGGGAGACCAGGGGAGACCAGGGGAGACCGGAGGAGACCGGAGGAGACCGGAGGAGACCGGAGGAGACCGGAGGAGACCGGAGGAGACCGGAGGAGACCGCGAGAGTCCGGGAGGGACCAGGTGGGGGTCAGGGGAGTTCTGAAGTAGCTACTGCACGGTATACATGAAGTTCAAAATGGCATATATTTGGAACTAGCTGTTTTTAAAGATGAGACAGATGAGTGTTTGTTTTATACCAGAAAATCTAAAGTCTGCTACTTTCTGTATAAATGATTTGTTTATAACTAATGTTTAATTTCATCTTTATTTTTTATTTTTTTTAGGAGATTTTACCAGATTTATTGTTACTAAGGAAGGTTTGTAATCTCCTTCCTTTCTCATAGTTGCGTCCTGGGTTCAATGTTCAGTGTAGAATAAATACGGGCGACACAGTGGCTTAGTGGTGAGCCTTTCAGAGTGGAGTTTGCATTTTCTCCCCGTGTCTGCGTAGGTTTCCTCCGGGTGCTCCGGTTTCCCCTACCTCTAAAAACAAATACATTAGGTCTGACATGTGCCTCCTGTATGTCGTTCTCGCTCCCTTCTCTGTGTGGAGTGAGAGGCAAATCCTTACTAAAGTACAAGGCTGTTTTCTTTGATGAAATCGGCTTTACAATGATGTATAACATGCCACAACAGCCCATATTAACTTACTTTTAATCTCTGCAATCATATGAAGTACCCATGAGATTCCTTTTACGTGCCTATGGGTCTGTGGGCCCCTTTTTGGGAAACATTGGTCGAAAGAATCCAAAAATCAGATACTAATTCACACTAAAAAAACAGTAATGAAACTATATGAGCAAGTATCAAGTGAAAAACTGAAAATGTGACAGTTTCTGAGCAGAATTAGTATGAGTGCATCTGAAGTAAGTCTTTGAAATAATTATTCACATAAAAATACATTCTTCTGCTTTGAAAAGTAGAATGCAAACAACAAAACATTTATTTTTACAATGACACTGTTTTTCTCTCCCTCTTCGCTTCTATAAACAGTCTGATCTTAAGCTTCTGACCTCCACCGTTTCCCTGTCAAAACACCCCCCTATCCCCACCCTGCCCCCCCCCTCCTATGCTGCTGCGTCGGCATGGCAACAGCACAATTAAACACACCAAAACCAGGACGGCAGATTCTACAGAAACTCCAGCTTGTTTTTAATTAATATCGCCAAAGCCAATCGAAGTTACATCTTCATACACAGGTCTGCGCAGCCATTAGCATCCGCCGTTAGCATTACGAGCTGTTGCCGGGGGTAACAAAGGTGTGTGTTATGGGCAGTAATTAGGGCCGGTGTCTTTGGGGAGGATGGATGCGGAGAGCGGTCATTAAATACATCGCAGGGAAACTCAGGGAGCCGGGATCTGCTGACTCTGGTTTGTTTAACGCACCAACACAAACAGGCCTAAATCACTGCGGCTGTGGCTCCAGCGGCTGTGGCTCCAGCGGCTGTGGCTCCAGCGGCTGAGGCTCTGGCAGCTGTAGCTCTGCCGGCTGTGGCTCTGCCGGCTGTGGCTCTGCCGGCTGTGGCTCCGGCGGCTGTGGCTCCGGCGGCTGTGGCTCCGGTGGCTGTGGCTCCGGCGGCTGTGGCTCCGGCGGCTGTGGCTCCGGCGGCTGAGGCTCCGGCGGCTGTGGCTCCGGCGGCTGTGGCTCCGGCAGCTGTGGCTCCGGCGGCTGTGGCTCCGGCGGCTGTGGCTCCGGCGGCTGTGGCTCCGGCGGCTGTGTACTGTATACAGCTGTATAGTTGTACATGACAGAGACGTGAGGCCGAGACATGGGCAATGGAAACGTGCTTAAGGATTTGAATGGACTCATGTAAACTGGAAAAATCCCTGGATGATAATAATGAGAAAAAAATTACGAAAATGAGTAAATTACTGGTTAAAATAATAAACATGATTTGTGTAATAATTTTGAATATAAGTACATTTCATTTTTAGTCCCGTGTTTTATTCTACTGTGTACTTTCTGTGTCCAATGCAGTGACTGTGTGTAGTGTGGTATAAGGCATTTGGGCTTTTACAGATTTCATTAAACTCATTTAGTCCTGGTTTACTTTAGGGTTGTATAAGTGTTACAAGGTTCTATTTAGTCCTGGTTTGGTTCTGGATTATCTGCCACGTCTGTCTTACACTGAAATGTAATATTCTTGTTTTATGCCCCTTTTGTTTCATGGTTATTGCCTCTTGTTCTCAGGCTAATGGTATCGGTTTGATTTCAGTATAATTGCACTTTAAAGTCTAATTTCTGCTGCGTGTCTTGGTGAAGGACGAGTCTGTGTTTCTGATTCTGTTTTTATGTCTGTGATCTATGAAATAAATAACTTAAAGGAGCAATATGTAAGATTTTACTGTCAAGTCATCATTAAAGGGCCCTAATCTGTCATAATTAAAGGGCCCTAATCTGTCATCATCAAAGGGCCCTAATCTGTCATCATTAAAGGGCCCTAATCTGTCATCATTAAAGGGCCCTAAACTGTCGTCATTAAAGGGCTCATTAAAGGGCCCTAATCTGTCATTATTAAAGGGCCTTAATCTGTCATCATTAAAGGGCTCATTAAAGGGCCCTAATCTGTCATCATTAAAGGGCCTTAATCTGTTATCATTAAAGGGCTCATTAAAGGGCCCTAATCTGTAATTATTAAAGGGCCTTAATCTGTAATTATTAAAGGGCCTTAATCTGTCATCATTAAAGGGCCCTAATCTGTCGTCATTAAAGGCCCCTAATCTGTCGTCATTAAAGGGCCCTAATCTGTCGTCATTAAAGGGCCCTAATCTGTCGTCATTAAAGGGCCCTAATCTGTCATCACTAAAGGGCCCTAATCTGTCATAATAATAAACTGCTCTTTTCCAATACTTCTTTAACTGATAAGTCGTTCAGAGATATTTGAATTTCTAAATTACTTTTCCAGCCTCTAAATCTTGTTATTGTTTTCATTTCGATGTCCCGCCCTCCACCGTTTCACCAATCAGAAAGTCTGTGATCCGGGCGCCAGAACTCACCGCGTGGAGCTAATCTCACTGGTAAAGTACCATGTGGCGCAGAACTAAAAAAGGTCTCGTTATGATTCTCAAATCATTAACGACAAAACAAGGAATAAAACCAGGATTTCTATCTTTGTGAAAAAGGTGTTGGTTATAGATTTGTTGTTGACAAAACTCTTGTCTATTCAGCTGTTATGGTCCCAGCTGGATTCGTCTGCATATCTGGCAACCTGAGTCAGGGAGAGTGGGAGAGGCTGCAGTACCACTTTTGACCACATGTTTACACACTGCTCCTTTAACTTGACTGATAAGAGTGATTTGATCGAAACATTCTGATTTCTACGTATGAGGCAGTCGGTGAGACAGACGAGGATTTTGAAGATGTTTTTGCTCGTTTTATATTGCTCATACTCCTTCCAGAGAAACATCTATATAAAGTTTTCTAAGAGAGGCCCCACATCTGGTCTGGAGCGGGACCTCTTTGGGGACTGAACATTCCAGTTTGGCTCCACTGTTTCTGCTCTCCACTTTCTAACAGACTAAAAGTACAGTCCCTGGACAAAGTTTTTGACATGAAGCACCCGCGTGACTTCACAGAGAGAAGGTTGTGGGCTCAATCCTGTGTTTCTCCCTAGGCCTGGGTGGGTTTCCTCCAGGCGCTCCGGTTTCTCCTGACCAAGCCGAGCATCAACATTTGTGTGTATTTATGTAGTATACACATTCATAACATTGTACACATGCCTACATACAGTATCTATATTTATACTTTTATAACTTGTTTGCACCTTGAGCCAAAGAATAATCCATTTTTTTGACCTCCTGTTACTGACAAAAGCAATAAAAAGAACTGAATCTGATAAAGTGCCTTGACCCGGAGTTCTCCTTTCTCGGTCGGAGTTACTTTTATAAAACAGAAATGACAGAGAGCTGCTCCTTTAACAGCCGGAATATCAAAGTATTCTATAATACTACACTGCAGCCAACGGAGAACACACATGTGTGTATTATACTGTAGTACTGTAGTACTGTACAGTTATTATACCATTATACTGTAGTACTGTATAGTGCAGTACAGTTATACTGTAGTATAGTACTGAACAGTAACCATACAGTAATAAACATAAATTAATGACAAGATTTATAGTTAAAATAGAAAAATAATGATTCAAAGGCCAGACCTGCAGGTGAAAGCCAGATCCTGTCAAACCTCTGAGGCTAAGCAGGGCAGGGCCTGGTTAGTGCTGTGATGGGAGACCTCTGAGAACACCAGGTGCCACAGCGGGGCGACTGCGGCTGTAAAGTGTCAAACTGTGGTTGTGTCCTTGGACAAGACACTCACAGGTTGGACTCCGCCTGCCTTCACCTCACCATAACCGTACGGATGCCATTTTCATACAGTTTGACAATCTGCAGATGAACTTAATACTATGGGGGAGGTGGCAGAGTAAGTAATGTTTATTAGTGTATTTTACAGACCGAGGTACAGACCCAAAGCACTTTACAATGATCAGATATTGTTCTATTCCCTCCACACAGTGATGACAGAAGTGAGACCTGAACACACTGGTCCATCAAAGCCTCCGACCAAACACCCTCCATTCACTCACTCATTACATTCAGACTATTGTAGGAGGAAGCTGGAACACTTGGAGGAAAACCTACACAGACACAGGAAGTAAATGTAAACTCCACTCAGAAAGACCCTGCTCCGACCGGGATTCGAACCCTTCATACTCAGCCGCCGTGTCGCCCGGGGGAGTGGGGGGTGTAGAATTCTGCCACGTTAGCGGTGTTAGCGTATTTGTGCTAATGAGGCGTCCACTGATAACTGCTGATGTGTGGATCCAGAGGAGGCAGAGGAGGGAGGCGGACGTCCAGGTGTAAACGCTGCATTCTCCTCTCCCACGGTTTGCCTTTTAATTAGAGCGGGAGGAGCTAGCTTGTCATGTTTGGTCATTTCAGAGCTAGCCTATAGCGCTAATGTGAAGGTGCTGTGTTAACCGGCAGCACAGGGACTGACTTGTACCGTGTTGCATAATGTCTCTGCAATACTCTGCTAATGAAGAGCGCGATGAAATCTTCAAATGATTCTCTCGTCATTTGTGCAATATCTACAAGTTCATTACAAGTTTTATTTCATGCAAATGATTTCATGAAGAGATGAGACGGATATGATTTTATTCTAATGCGGCTTCTTCTTTCTTTTCTATTTGAATTTGTGTATTTTCTACCTAATAATAATGTACAGATATTGTCAACGTAAATCCCATTATAATTTATTGATTTATGGGATGCAGATGAAAACATTGAGAAAAAAGATTATTTAGATTTGTTTTGGTAATCGATATATTCTGTTTATCTGTGTCTTGTTAATGTTAATTTTGAAATGCATACATACATACATACTAAACTAAGCGTCAAGTTTTTGCCTAATCCTGCCTTAAAAATAAACAAAAACAGATTTATCACAAAACCCAACTTTCCAAATGACACTTAATTAAACAGATGTAGAATCAGGACAATGGATCCAATTTATCTGTTGTGCTAATTCCAGCTTATTTAAGTTGGAGCTGTTTGCAGATGCATTGATTATTATGTACTGTTCTGAATTCAAATAAATAATAAATAGATTCTTCGACCAGCTGCAGTCAGTGGAGAAAAGCTGGTTCTCCCTCCTGGTCCCACATGGTCCCTCCTGGTCCCACATGGTCCCTCCTGGTCCCACATGGTCCCTCCTGGTCTCTCCTGGTCCGTCTGTGGCAGAGGGAGCAGTAATTAGTGCGTGGCCTCAGGAGCAGAGACAGCGGTGACGAGAGGAAAGGGCAGAGTGACAGTTAGTGTCAGCGTTGTTCTCCGCTCGCCGCAGACGTCACATCATTAACAAAGGAGGTTGAGAGTGCAATTCCCCAGGACCTTCTTTGTGCTGATGGAGACGTCGACCTTTTGAGGCCGTCGTTTGAGAGGAGTGACACTTGTTGATGTACATATGGTCTGAGGCAGTTTAACGTCTGACACACGGGCGGAGAGAGAGACTTTCTGTTTGCATCGTTGGGATTGGGCTTTTAGTGATTTGTAATTTGGAACTTAGGCAGCCGTGTAAGTTGTTGCTTCTGGCTTATATTGAGAAGAAGAGTTTGTTAAATTGGAATAAGGGAGAATAAGCAGGACATGTAGTGGTATGGAGGGAGACAGATGGGAAACACTATAAAAGGGGGAGCTGCAGCGCTTTTATTAATTGTTTTGTTTCTCAGCAAATAAACACAATCTTAATGGCTGCCATTATGTGGAATTACCACTCCATATAAAAAACTAACAGTCGTGGCCTCCTGCTCCCTGGGCCAGCAGAGCATTAAGCACACTAAAGCTCACTAAAGCACCGTGCTCGCCTTATTGCCGGAGCCATAATGGTCGCCCTGACATGGCTGTGGCCGGGCCCTGAAGGCTGTCACTTCAGATTTATGCCTCTAACCGCTCTGACGGATGGGCCAAGATCATAACTGAGCGACTGGCCACTGGCTCCCCAGTCCCATGACCTCATCATGGACAGACTGGCAGAAGCTGCTCTCTCCATCATGCCCAGTCAATTATAAGGCCGAGGGGCAGAGCCAAGATGGCTGCCTTTTATGGTGCTATCTTTCTTTGTGTTGGAGCAGGTTGGCCCTGCTTTCAGCATGTTGATTCATTGTTTTAACAAATATCCTGTGGAGAATCTGCCAGAGCACTGTGTATTTCTTTTTATCAATGCTTGTGTTGTATTTGTTGTAAAGAGTGATCTAATAAAGTTCGAACATTTCCAGCCTACTCCATTTAAATCAACGCAGTTGAGCCACACACCGGTGGGCTGTGGCGACGCCTCGGGCCTAATGGCGTCTGATTGCTTTGATAATATAAAACTGTATTGACACTTATCTGGCTCTCATCTGGAATATAAATGAGCTCTGATCGTGGTCACAGCGGAGCAGGTCTGAGACTGAGGCGTCTGTCTCTATGTCTCTATCACACTGTGGCCCCGGACCCTCTGTGGCCCCGGACCCTCTGTGGCCCCGGACCCTCACTGGCCCCGGACCCTCACTGGCCCCGGACCCTCACTGGCCCCGGACCCTCTGTGGCCCCGAACCCTCTGTGGCCCCGGACCCTCTGTGGCCCCGGACCCTCTGTGGCCCCGGACCCTCTGTGGCCCCGGACCCTCTGTGGCCCCGGACCCTCTGTGGCCCCGGACCCTCTGTGGCCCCGGACCCTCTGTGGTCCCGGACCCTCTGTGGCCCCGGACCCTCTGTGGCTCCGGACCCTCTGTGGCCCCGGACCCTCTGTGGCCCCGGACCCTCTGTGGTCCCGGACCCTCTGTGGCCCCGGACCCTCTGTGGCTCCGGACCCTCACTGGCCCTGGACCATGCCCCCTTCCAAACTGTCATAGCCCTCTGTTGACCTTTGAACCCCTGCTAACCATCACTAATAAACTAATAAAAAAATATGAATATAATTATTTAACAAATATTGTGAGTTTATTCTCGTCTTGTCACTTGGACAATTTACAAGGCACTAAAGTAAATTAGAATTATTTTCTAGCCCTAAATCACAGCAGCAGTCGTCTCTACGGGTCCAATACTTTTGTGTAAATGAGTAGAAAAAAGGAAGAGTATAAACTTAACATTTTAAATACAGAATTGCTGTTTTAAAACTTAATATTAGCTTTTGGCCAAAAAGGTCTGTGAGCTGTGCAGGAGCTGGACTGGTCAACACTAGGGCTGTCAGTGGAAGTCTTCTAAAACTGACAAACCACTTTGATATTTGTAAAACCCTCCATTCTTAAGATTCACATTTCTTTATTTTCTTGAATTTCATGCCTAAAAAGCTGCTAGTTTTTTGACACACCTCCGTTTTATGAAACTAATCAATGCCTTTATCCAAACAAGACTTGACTTCAGCCTGAGTTTAAACACGTGCTTCCTCCTTCTACAGTGTGTGCTGCAGGTTTCCCAGCTTTACCGTGTATAAATATATATAATTATATTTGTAATTCCCGTCCCCGTCTCTGGTCACCACCTCCTCTTCTGCAGCAGCTCATCCCCTGTCAAACCCAAATATCACATCCCGTGGCAGGTTGACCTTGTCTGCACAACGCTAAGCTAATCCGTGCGCGCGTGCCTTTTCTTTCGCCGCGGAAACATCTGCGATTTTAATTACCAAAATGATGTATTTTAATCCCCCCGCTAACCCAATCCAACTGCAGAACCAGGGATGATTAATGGCCGCCTGTTGGTAATATGTTCAGTGGTCTGTGTATATTTCACAAGCCCCAAAGTTTATGTGAATTCTCCGTTGAGGGATGTGGGACTGAAGCAGAGACATGCTTAAATCTAATTTGGTTGTTTTTACTGGTACGTGTGATGCTAGTGCGTTCACAAACAGCCGGGTGTGTGTGCGGGAGCGGAGCACGTGGGTCCGTGGCGGCTCCGGATGTGGGAAAGGGAGATTTAGAGCCCGTCTGTCTGTGGCGTGTCCCGGGAACTGTGTCTTTAAAGGCACGAGCAGAGCAGACGTAAACACAGAGAAGACGGTGAGGCTGATTTACCGACTGTTTCTGAGCACTTTTCACTCATATTTAGTCTGTTTTAGTCTGTTTTAGTCTGTTTTAGAGCGTATCCCTTTTTAACCTTCAGTTTGTTTTGGGTTTGTTTTCATCAAACTGGAGTAACATATGTTTACAATCCACCATCTTCAACATGGACAGTATGGAGATTTAAAGCTGGGGTAGCTCCGCCTTGCTAACCCAAAGTTCATAGTGTCATCCAGCCAACTTTAGCTCGGCCAATACAGGGATGTTCTAATTATTGACTGTAAATATAAACAGTTGTAGTGAGGCTTATTTCCTCCGTTGAAATGTATGAGCCGAAGACATGGGCAGATTAAAATGGCCGCGGGAAAATGTGAAAAACACATTTCAGATTCAGATGTTTGCATTTGTGCATGTGTTAGCTGCACTAGCCCCATGTACTTAACAAGTGCATTCAAAAGTCCACAGCGGCTAAACTAGACTGGTCCAAAAACATCGACAGCATCTGGAACCAAGAGGACCAAGACGGTTGAGCATGCTAGCTTTAAGAGAAAGGACCATGTTTCATTTATTCATAACATTGAGTTAAAACATACTAAATTGTAGATAATAATAAGCCGCTGGTGCCTTCGATTGAAGACCAGGCAGAAGCGTCTACGTCTTATTTAAATCTTGGCCGTGAACCTGTGATAGACCGAAGATTGGATTGTTCTGTGGTTGATAATTGGTTTGTAAAATAGCTGTTACTGAAATACTCTGGCGCGGCTCAGGCTTCATCACCGACGTGTTCCTTTCTACACATTTGTTTAGAAGCCATTGTTCAATCCAATATCCAACGCTGTTATTGCACATTTCTGCTCTAAGCCCTGACAGTTAAACCCAGGACAATCAAACCGTGAAAAGACGCCAAAACCACGAGTCTCTGCCTGGTCCTGCCTCCAGATGTGTCTTTATAACTCGTTCTTTCTCCAGACATTTCACACGGAGAACACGGTTGGATATTGCTTTGTGAGTGGCTTTGCACATGCATAAAAGATCAACTTTACCAGAGCTGCATTTGGGACACATTCATAACGGCTGCTTAGTATACGGAAGGGCCAGGGTTTTGCATGGATTACCACATATATCAGCGGCAAAATGGAAAACGCCAAACCTCCCAAAGTGGCATACATTCAAGTGGGCTAGGCCGTTTGGGCACGCATCAATAAGTGAGAAATATTGAAAATGACTCGAGTTTGATTATAAATAGATTATATAGAGTTTGCAGAGAGTACGTTTCAAAGCTCCGTGAAAACAGCCATAAGTAGGTTGCATCACAGTCAATTATGTAACCAGGGAAAAATGTTTGCTATTTTAACTCAGAATTCATATACAGTATGAGATGGGTTTGGCCCCAATAGTTACATGTAAAAGTGATATTTTGTGAATGAATCAGAGCAACACACGTCGTCTTTATCTCATCATGAAACGTGATCGATTGTTTTCTTGTGAGAAAGAGCCGTGTGAGTTTGTTTGGGCTGAGAGCAGCAAAAAGTCCTGATCAGGTCTGAAAAAAATTATCCAAAGATGTCAGTCTAAACAATATATATTTCAATCAAGTGCCCTTTACAACACTCAAGTTCTTTACAATAAAATCCATTAAAACATGAATGCAAACAAACAATAATGAAAAGTTCCACCGCACGAATGAGTGTTAAAAGTGTTAAAAGGAGTGACCCTGGTGTTTGGACCTGGTCTTGGTTCTTCCTGGAGAAGCCGAGTTGAGGACCAAGGATAAAGTCAACAGCAGTTAAGATTCAAGACGAGTAGTTTCAGACTGGTCCAAAAGTGGCTCTTGGTCCAAAAGTGGCTCTTGGTCCAAAAGTGGCTCTTGGTCCAAAAGTGGCTCTTGGTCCAAAAGTGGCTCTTGATCCTCTTGGTTCCAGATGCTGTCTGAGGGGAGGATATGTTTTTGGACCAGTCTAGTTTAGCCGCTGTGGCTAAAAAGTTTGGACACCTCTGACTTAAAGGTAAAAAGGAGGATTTTCCACTGCTGGGTGGATCCTCAAGAATATTTGTCCTTCCAACTGTCAATCATTCTGGTGATGTGTGCTCATCCAATAAGAGCAGAGAGTTATGTTTAAAGAGTGGAGAGGGCGGTTCTTTCCTAAAGTTTGGGAAAACCTTTAGTACATCGGAAAACACACGTAAGAATCAAAGCAAATCATAACCCGATTAAATAGATATTTTGCTGATATTGGTAAATTATTATCGGTCCCTGGTTTGACTGTTATATTTCAATTACATTTCACAAAACCATCTTTTGAAAACTTAATTTAATTCCTGATTGCTTTGTTAGCGCTTTAACGGGAAACTGAATTGGATTGTCTTTTGTCATTATCCTCTTTGACCACCACTTGTCCTCCTGCCGTCTTTACCAAAGCTTTAATCACACACAAAGCAGAGGCACAAAAACATTCAAATGATTCTAGTAACACAAAGAGCGGTGGTTCAATCCCAGCGCTTACTGCTGTAGTGTAGTTGAGCAAAACACCTGTGGAGGGGGTTGGAAGCAACTTTGAGAGTCTAGAAAACCGCTTGTCTCAGTAACAACAGGGGTTGAACCAGTGGGGGCGGGTCCCGGCTCAAACGTCGGCGGGCTAACGTCGGCGGGCTAACGTCTGCAGGCTGACGTCTGCAGGCTAACGTCTGCAGGCTGACGTCTGCAGGCTGACGTCTGCAGGCTGACGTCTGGAAGGCTGACGTCTGCAGGCTGACGTCTGGAAGGCTGACGTCTGCAGGCTGACGTCTGCAGGCTGACGTCTGCAGGCTGACGTCTGCAGGCTAACGTCTGCAGGCTGACGTCTGGAAGGCTGACGTCTGCAGGCTGACGTCTGCAGGCTGACGTCTGGAAGGCTGACGTCTGCAGGCTGACGTCTGCAGGCTGACGTCTGCAGGCTGACGTCTGGAAGGCTGACGTCGGCACGCTGACGTCGGCACGCTAACGTCGGCACGCTAACCTGTCTCTTCTTACAAAGCATCCATCTTTCCACATCTTTCCGGCAGCTCCTGAGCTTGTTTACCGTCGCACTCGCCGCACATTTAAGAATCCTTCAGTGTGTAGTTAACTTTCTCCCAAAAGGCAAATCTCACATTTTGACTCTCGGGAGAATGCAGCCTGTCGGGAAACACAAAAGGGAGAAAATTGCTGTTACTTTGCTGCAGGAGGTTCTGGGTTCTCACTCTGTGTTTGTTATTGGTGTTTGGAGGGAATGGAGGAGGCAGCAGACTTATTCAGGAGCATTTTTGATTTTGGAAGTGCAGACTTATTATATTTTAAAATCAGATGTTGTGAATTATGTATTAAGCGTGAGACTATGATGCAGTTTCAAGTCTGGATTTAGGTCATTTTAATGTTAGTTTTCAGTTTTCATTTAGATCCACATTAGCTGCTGGGAAATACAGTGGGTCTATATACTCATCAATGTCACAAGAATAAATGCACAAAATATGCCTAAATAAAAATACAGGACCCTTCTAGTCCTCATTCTGAATCCCAACATATAAACATCTGTTTCCTGCTGCTGCAGACTCTTGGGTCATGAAGCCGTTCTGTAATTGCCTCCATGGAAGTCCCTGAGCTCGGGGTGAAAGACCAAAACATACAGTAAGCAGAGAAACGAACCCAGACTATAAGTGTTTGAAGTGAAGGAGGACACAGAGATTTGCCTGTTTTTGGATCAGTTACAGATGGTCTCTCCGAGTATTCTCTCCGAGTATTCTCTCCGAGTATTCTCTCCGAGTATTCTCTCTGAGTATTCTCTTCTCTCCGAGTATTCTCTCCGAGTATTCTCTCCGAGTATTCTCTCCGAGTATTTGTGCAAAGACAAGACTTAGGCGGAAGTCTCCTCCGGCCCTTTGAGAGATCCAGGGCTTTTCCTAGAAGCGTCCCAGAGTCCAGTGAGTGTGTGTGGGGTCAGAGCGACTCAAAGGGGGCCAGGCCCAGAGAAGCCATTACCGAAGCTGTCCCACGTGAGAAGAGAGAGGGGAGAGACGGGAGAGAGAGAGAGGGGGGGGGGGGGGGGGGGGAGAGAGGGGGGGGGGGGGGGGGGTAGTAAGTAAGTAAGCAAGCTTTTATTTATATACCGCCTTTTCACTGCACATCGGAGTCTCAAAGCGGTTTACAATTGTTATTTTTGGGAGTGGGGGTCGCCAGTACAGGAGGCACCTAATGCCAGACCTATTGTACATATTTTTAGTGGTAGGGGAAACCGGAGCACCCGGAGGAAACCTACGCAGACACGGGGAGAACATGCAAACTCCACTCAGAAAGGCCCTGGTCCAACCGGGATTTGAACCCAGGACCTTCTTGCTGAGAGGCGAGAGTGCTATCCACTCAGCCACCGTGCCGCCCTCCGAGAGGAGGGGGGGGGGAGAGAGAGAGAGAGAGAGGGGAGAGAGAGGGGAGAGAGAGGAGGGGGGGGGGAGAGAGAGAGAGAGAGGGGAGAGAGAGGAGGGGGGGGGGGGAGAGAGAGAGGGGAGAGAGAGGAGGGGGGGGGGGGGGGGGGAGAGAGAGAGGGGAGAGAGAGGAGGGGGGGGGGAGAGGGGAGAGAGAGCGAGGGGGGAGGTCGGGCTGGATTTGGGGGCCATTGTTCCAGATTTATGCAGTTAAAATCTGGAACAATCTTCCTGAAGATGTGAGACGGGCATCTACTCTGGCAGTTTTTAAATCCAGGTTAAAAACAGTCCTGTTCAGCTGCAGACAACTGTGAAGGATTTTATATTATATTTTCAGTGCATTGTGGCTATTTATTATTTCCATCCCGTGTGTGTTTTTAATGCTTTAAGGTTTTTAATTACTTGTGATATTATTCTGTTTTGCTGGATATGATGTGGGTTGTGAGGTGCTGTGTGTTGCCGTGTGTAGGTAAGGCGCTCGACAATTAAACGATTGATTGATTTGGTAAGATTTGTTGTTCACATGCGCTACTTCCTGGATTGTAAAATTGAAATGTTTTGGAGGACTCCGGACTGTTCTTCATGGATGTGTTTTATTCCGTTGGTGTAGCTCTGGTGTGTGCCGTCTCTCTGTCCGCTGCACACTGGGGTAAGTCTTGCACAGTTTTTCCAATGTGGTTTTACTGCAAATGGATTCTTGTATCTTGTGACACGGAGAACAGGGAACTCTAAAACATGTTTGGTCCATGTTTGGCTGAATGTTTCTTTGGTACGGAGACAGTTTGTGTTTAAATGTTAGTTTTACATCAGCACAGGTCGGATATTTCACACAGAGAGAGTCGTGTCTGATAAAAGCTGAATACATGGACAAAAAACATCTCTAAATCTATAAAAAGCAAATCTAAGGAATGTATGTTTTAACCAAACTCCCGCTCTCTCTCTCTTGCTGTATCCCTCTATCTCGCTCTGTTCTTTCTCTCTTTCTGTCTCGCTCTCTCTCTCTCTCTCACTATGCATCTCTCTCTTGCTATGTCTCTCAAACCAAGTAGTCTGTATGCATGTGTGTGTGTATGTACGTATGTGTGTGTGTATGTACGTATGTGTGTGTGTATGTACGTATGTGTGTGTGTATGTACGTATGTGTGTGTGTATGTACGTATGCGTGTGTGTATGTACGTATGTGTGTGTGTATGTACGTATGTGTGTGTGTGTGTTTGTGTGTATGTACGTATGTGTGTGTGTGTGTACGTATGTGTGTGTGTGTGTACGTATGTGTGTGCGTGTGTTTGTGTGTATGTACGTATGTGTGTGTGTATGTACGTATGTGTGTGTGTGTGTGTGTGTGTGTATGTACGTATGTGTGTGTGTGTGTGTGTATGTACGTATGTGTGTGTGTATGTACGTATGTGTGTGTGTATGTACATATGTATGTGCGTACATATGTATGCATGTATGTGTGTATGTACATATGTATGCATGTATGTGTGTATGTACATATGTATGTGCGTACGTACGTCTACCTTTCTCTGCTAAAACCACCCATGGACGTTTCATTTACAGAAAAGTGAAATGAGCTTGATCCGAGTGTAGGAGCAGTGGAGGTGCGTTTGGTTTCTCCGTCTGGATCTCTCTGTGGCACAGTTGGATTCGTCCTCATCATCGTCACACCCTGAAGTGTTGTTTACAGTGTGGGAGTGAGTGATGAAGAGACGCACAGGGGACCACAGCCACCTCGCTAGCGCCTCCTACGGGCCAGAGTTTACATGAAAGCCAGTGTGTGTCTCTTTCCATTTGGGACTGCTTCAGATAAAAGAGAATATAATTAATAATGCATCAAAAGTTTCTGTATTAAAGACTCCTCACACGGTATTATTCACTCCACACTCTGTGGGGGTAAACTGCTGCGATAGCCACAGCTGCTCTGGGGCAGACTGACAGAAGCGAGGCAACCATTCTGTGCCATTGGCCCCTTTAACCACCACCACCTGAGACCTCTTGCTATGTGTGTGTCTGTGTTGTCTGTCTCCTTATGTTTGTGTATTGTTTGTTGAATGATGTGTGACTGAATGTTTACTTGCCTGGTCCTTCCTAACTGTCTGTGAAGCAAACATGTTTTTATCTTTCTGGAGACACGGGACCACAGATGAAAAATAGCTGCTGGGCTAATTCTGGCATATTTACATGTAAATAAATAAATAAATAAGACCAGTCACAGACAAACCAGATTCATACTGGGAAATATGAGTGAAGTGTCTTGCTTAAGGACGCAGTTTCCTCAGTCATCCCACTGCAGCGTCTGGTATTCAGCATTTCTCACACACGTGTCTACATGCACAAATGAGTAAATTAAATTATTATTAAAATTGATGAAAAATGTGGCAGTAGTTGTCAATAGTAGTTTAGACTTAACCGTCTTGTTGTCAGGGCTTGTGCTTGACGATAAGGTCCGGGTTTCATCTCTGGGCTTGAAGGGGCCTTTCTCTATGAAGTTTGCTTATTTTCCTTATGAATGCGTAGGTTGCCTCCAGGTGCTGCGGTTTGCCTTCAACCACCTAAGACATACGTACAAAATTGTCACTTTTAGCCCAGAGCCTCGTGCTGCTAACATGTGCAATAGTTTCATCATTTCTGTGAATATTTGAACCCTCAGAGCTAATGATGAATTGCACTAGTGTCCTACAAATGTATTTACAGATATATCAAACAATTATATATGGATTTATCTCTGTAAATTTCTCCAGTGTGAGATCAATAAAGTATCTTACGTTATCTTTGCTCCAGAGTAAACAGCTTCATATGTGCATCAACTCATTAGCTGCCAGTCGTTTTTGATGATTTCACAGATTCTCAAGACCCACAGAATATTATGTGCTATGACCATGTAAAATATGAAACCAGATTCTGAAAGACCGGACTGTCTTCTTTCACCAGCAAAAATAAGTTTGTTTTTCCTGTAATGCCCAGTCGAAAAGAGGGAAGTTTGACAGAAATCACCGGTCTCAGACAAATACGTCAATGAGCTAAGCCAGTGTTTTTCAACCAGTGGGTCGTGGTACATTAGTGTGCCTCGAGACGTTGTTTGGTGTGCCTTGGGAAATGTTCCAATATCACATTATAGGTCAAAATGATGTGAGAAGATGGTTTCACGTTTGTGTCAGTTTCTGCTGGTGGTGTTTTCAACCAAAAATGTGTGCCACGACTACAAAAAGGTTAGGAAACACTGATTTTAGGCAATCTGAACATAAACACACAGAGCAAAACCAGAAAGCCTTCCAACCTCTCTACATTTTACATTCTTGGGTTTCATGAACCTGGCCTGCAGGGGGCGCTAATCTGGGAAAGCCTTGATCCACCTCGCCCGCCTCATTCCAGTGATTTTTTTCAAAGTGTCCTCCTTTATATGAGACCAAAGTTGGAACATGAACAAACTCTGGTCTTTCTCTATTTGTGCGGTTGCTACAAGCGTACACCGCACAAAAATATGGCATTTGACAACGCTTCTTCTTCTACTATATATCTGTGTATAAACCACTTCTTCTTCTACTATATATCTGTGTATAAACCACTTCTTCTTCTACTATAT